CCCCAAAACCCCAAAACCCCAAAACCCCAAAACCCCAAGATAGAATCAATGTGCTGAATCCTTAGAAGAAATTTATATGGAAATAGAGTCATTTTGGTCAAATATGTCCTCCACTTTATCCTGGATCTTGTGGTCCTCGAAGGAGTCAAACTCTGCAAATTCAGTTTCGAAGTTATTCGCATGCGTCACGTTTTCTTCGACTGATTTCTGGCTCTTGCTTTCTTCTTTCCCTGTTGTGCCAGATTTCTATATAGACTGTATGAAGGATGGGCAGAGAATGGGAGTAGAGATCAGTTTCATAATTTACCTTATTTTTAGCCATGCTAGATCCATCGGTCTTTGAATTAACAGAGCTTTTCTTGAACATAGAGTTTGGTTTAAATGAAGCCTCGATACTCTTAGTCTCCTCTCAAATATCCTCGTTTATGACTATATTTAGACTTAGAATATACTGGAGAATGATTTTTCAAAGTTAGAATTCCTATCTGAGTTTTCACTCCTTCTACTAGAGTTATCGGAAGCCTTATTCTTTGGACTATCCTTAGACTCCTCAAGACTGGCTATAAACTTCTCGCTAATTCTGGACTTTGGGACTTCACCTGGCTCTTGATAGTTGATAAGTTTTGGACTAGAAGTTATTCAGGATACATACTTTCTCTTTTCAACTTCAATACCAATTTTCCCCTTTGGTTCGTCCGGTGAAAGTTTTAAAGAATCAATCTTCTCTTCAGTAGAGGAAGAGAAGGAAGAGACAGAATCTCCTTTACTAGAAGACTTTCTCACAGATTGTAATTTTAGAATATCATCAGGAGGGTTAAGAGTCTGCTTGATGGTTTTTTCTTTTTCTATAAATCATTAGCATTGAACTTACCATCTTTCTTTATGGAAGTCAAGTTAGAAATTTCCTTCTTAAACGAGTTAGATGATTTGTAGTCTTTAAGAGGGCTTGCCTTAATGTTGCTTGCATCAGAAAAACTAGGAATACTAACTCCATTGTTAACTGAAGGAGTTTTAAAGGAGTTATTATATCCATTTTCATCTCCAAACCATTCTGTTTTAATACTGTCATCCTCTGGCTCATCTTTTTCTTCTTCATATTCTTCTTGATCAAAAGAGCCACTCTCTGAAGAGCTTTCACCTATTAGTGTCAATAATAAAATTAATACTCGATCGAGCTAGGCTATCAGAGTCTGAAGAACCAGACTTTGATTCATCCTCCTGGTTAACAGGAGTGATTGGGATAGGAGTATTGAACCTAATCGATTTCCTAATAGACTTCCTGCCATTCGCAATATTTTGATTTTCAAGCTCAAAATCTTCCTCTTCAATTTGATTGTCAGCTTCGACTAAAAAATTACTGGGAATTTTACATTTCTTCCTCTTGCTCTCTTGCTTCGCTCTCATTCTGTCGTAGAATTTCTTGAGGTTTCCTTTGATCTTGTCAAAATCTTTGCAATCTATGGCGATGTGCCCAATCTTGTTGCAGACATAACAAGTAATTTTAAGATGTTTATATTGATCAGAGTACTCTCCAGTACCCCAGTTCTATAGTATTACTGTCAAAAAGCTTACAGCAGCCTGGTTGATGGAGTTTTTGATCAGGTAGAACCTATGCATCGTCTTTCTAAATTCTTCTGCCTTTGTAGCAAATTTATCATGATCTAACACCAACAAGTGAGTGAAGTCTCGAGATTTTGCAGTTGCTTGCCTAGGTTTTTCAGAGAAAAATCCAATCTCACCGAAGAAATCGTCTTTTCCTAAATCCTTGATATAAGTCCTTGTTTTTCTGTGGAGAATTGCTACTTTTCCTTTAACTATGAAGAAGATTTTTCCTCCAGGGTCATCTTCTACAATAATGTTGTCATCAATCATGTAAGTGACTTGAGCAAAGATGAAGGTTATCTCAGACAAGAACTCAAGATCAAAGTCTTCAAAGACTTTGATGTCTTTGAGAATCCTTCCGTTGAGGTACAAAGTGAGCTTGTCTCTCAAGTTTTCGTTAAGGATCTTCATAACGTCTTTCTCCTCGATTTTGATCTCTTTCTTCGACGTCCAGATGTATTCGAGGTAATTTCTGACTTTCATCCTGATATCCTTGGGTATATCTTTGTGAATCAAAAACTGGTTCACATAAGTCATCTTTTCCTTATACTGGGTTGCTTGCAAGTTAAGCCTAGTGACCATCTCTCCAATGTTACCAACGGTGTATGCGAAGACTCCGCATGCAACAAGCATTGCGAAAAAGCCATAGAGTCTTTCATTAGGAGTAGAGGGATGCACATCTCCATATCCTACTGTCGTCATTGTCGTGAAGGCCCAATATAAGGAGGTTAGATATTTGTCTTCAGTGGGTGAGTCTTGAATTCCTGCGTTTAAGATCCAGCTTTGGCCAGAATTCCTCCACTCAGAATCACCAACATACCAGAAAAAGCATGCAATCCAATGAGCAATAAAGATAATAATGAGCATTAATTTCAAAAATTCTACTAGAGCATTCATTCTATCTGAGACTATATAATCTTCAAGCCTCATGAGCAATTTTCTCAATTTCAAAACTCTTAAAAGACGAAGAATTCTTAAAAATCTAACAATTCTGAGAAGTCTCAGCAACTGAGGAGTTTTATATACAGCTGAGCCACCTCCTTGGTTCTCAGATTCATCATCTTCAGTGGTGCTTTCTCCTCCCCCACTGGTCAGGGAAATTACCCAAGAGTATGGAAAGGAGGCGAACAAGTCCATAAAGAACCATGTTCTCATATAGTTTAGTACAATGTATTTACGCTCCATGATAAGATTTCCATGACTGTAGTACCCTGTGTTAAAAGTGACAAAGATTTCAGCCAGGAAGAAAGCATCAATAAAGGTTTCGTAGTAGTAGAATCCACCTTTAGCATCTTCTTCAAAACTGATCCTAAAAGGTATGATAATGGACTGATAGATTGTAAATATAAAACTGAGCAAGTCCCAGCAAGTTCTGAAATTACTGTCAGGGAAAATCACCATTCAACTCTTCTTCATATTCTTCCTATTCTCAGAAATAACCTGTTGGTCAATAGCCTCTGCTTCCTCTTCTCCGTCCTCAAAAGGGAGGTTATCGTCTTTTCTTTTAAGGATCTTTTTGAATTCCTTGAGCTTCCTATTCTTGCTTTCATCGTTGATGTTGTCCTTCTGCTTGTCATACTTCTCAGTGATTCTTTTACTTCTTTTGACAATTTCGTCTTGTTCTGAAAGCTTATTCTCCTTATTAGAGGATTTTAGGATAGCAGTTGCTGCGTAGGAACTTTTTGGCGATCCCTCCTTTCTTCCGCTCATGTTGTCAATCGAAGTCAAGTTAAAATTCTTAGAGGTCCTTTTACTGATACTGTGGTTCAGCTGATCTTTCCGATTGATTGAGGTACCTGAGTGTTTATAGTTCGGAGACATTTTCCTGCTAAAAGTGCTATCTAAGTTAAGCCCATCTAAAGTTTACAAGACCTAGTTTACCTCCAAGAGTTATTTGTGACCTCCCATGTGGTCTCATATCATTCATAAAATCTCCTCCGACTTCATGGTTTGAGATTTCATCTGCCTGATAAATGTTGTTGTCCAACTTGAGTTTGGCATCTGTGACATCATGACTTTTGTCATGAAGAGTAATGTCCATCTTAGTGACAGCGTCCTTATTTTCCTCTGTCATTTTAAATATAATAATTTAGGATTTTAAAGAGAAAGGGGTTTTGGGGTTTTGGGGTTTTGGGGTTTTGGGG